ATTTTCTGATAGTTTTTGCATTATTTGTTTGACTTTGGATATTTGCAGCCTGGAGGTCATAGCTTTAATTTACTACTACCATTTTATCACATTTATAGAACAATAAACTAACTCTATAATATCACTGCTGAGGCCCCTGTATTTTGAAAAGCACCTAATGGTCACCAAATTTCTTTATCACAAATTCTCAGGCAGATTAAGACAGATATTATTTTTTACCCCACATCTTCTTATCAGCACGCTCTCTCCATTTGCTCAAGTTCAAAGCATGGAAAGAAGCTATATATTTTTCTAAATATCACCTACTATCTCTGACAGGGACACGGACAGTGAATGTTATCATATCTGGCTGTCATATTGTCATAAATTTTCTATGAGGATTTGGATTTTAAAATCTCGTAAAACACACACACATAAAGATAAAAATGACCGCCATCTCTTGATTCAAACATTGAATAAACAATAAAATCCAACTGCGCTCTTAGTCTGCAGTATTTTGTGCTTAGCAAACCAAACTAATCAGATAAACTCGGAGGAACCACAGCACAGCAACATTACGTAGTGGTTTTAAACTAAAGTTGGGGCAGTAAAGTAAAGCTCAAAGTGATCAAATTTCAGGCGCAGATTTCTGGATACCAAAATACGTCTTGGAGTTTTTCATGAGCTCTTTTTCCAGGTTAAACAAGCTCCCCTACATGGTAAAATAACATTATGAAGTTATAAAATGACACATGAATCATTCAGACCCTGAGCTCATGGGTCCCCATTGCCAGCCTGAATTATTCACTTTGATTCTGTAACATTTGGTCTCATTTGAGGAGCGATTTCTCATGTGGAGCAGAGATGAACAGTGGAGACGAGTGGTGACGGGTTTTTTTCGTGTTTATTTGCCAGTTGCGTCATTCAAGTGAAGAGTGTGTACTTCAGAATGAAAACACTTTAGGTATGAATGAAAATACTGGCAACCATATTTTGAAGTGGCAGTTGACATTTTATTTATTTAACTGTTCATTCATTAGCTGCTCAGTATTTTTTTTTATTACAGCCAGGTTTGGTGTGCTGGGTAGCTTTGTTTATTGTTTAAGTACTTTATGCAATGTGTCCTTCAACCCCCAAAATCTGAAAAATGAAATACCTTGTGTACTTGTACACAATTATGATGCTGCTCTACATTACAGAACTGTGTTCACATCTCACACATCCACACTACAATTAATAAACTGTTTTCCCAGTGACATTGTATATAAATGTAATTTCTAGGAGACAGGATTGGTGTCCACTGGTAGCCTGACAACCTCATGGTAACGACAAGAATCCAGCAAGTTTTTATGCTAATCTAAATTAATTCCCTCCAAGTGTGGTGTTGATCTTCTCATCTAATTCTTGGCAAGACAGTTCATGTGTTTTTTCCATAATGAAAAAAATACTTCCTTTAAGATGAGCAATTAAGAGCCTGGTGTAGGATGATTCATTCTTTTGTGATATCATTAAAGAGCCCCCCAGACATATTTTATAACATATGAAAGTTTTCTGCTTTTAATGATAATTTGTGTCTGGTTTGTCTGAAGTTTCCACAAAAAACTTCAATTCACTTGTTAAAATTTGTAAAATCAACATCTGGCCTAATCATTCTTCCTAATTTAAAAATCCAGAATCTATAGAGATGCAAATATGTTTCTTTCAAAAGTATAACTGCAGGTTGCACTGAAAAGTCCATTCTCAGAGTTTTCTTCTCTTTTTTCCTTTCTTCACAGGGAGCACCAAAAAGAGCATGCCTGAGGTGTGGTGGCGAGGTCCTGGGACTGAGGAGAAAATACACAGCTTCACCGGCAATGTAGTAGACACCTACAGGGGTCCCTCCCATCCACATGCTTCCATCTACATCCTGAGGCTGCGCTCCAAACAGCAGAACACCAGAGCTACAGTGTACCTCCACGAAGGCCTGGGGCCCTCAGGCACCTTCCCCCTGCTCCCAGCTGACCCTCGAGTTCACACATTAGGAGTAGGCATGACCAGTGTCACCCTCAGTTGGCCGCCCAGCGCCTCCATTACCAGCCTGCCACACGCAGAGAAAAGTTATGATTACTGCGTCCTCGTCAACTCTCAGAAAAACTACCCCAGCCTTTGTGCTGCCAGAGAGAGCATGAGGAAAGAGAAAGACCAGAGACAAGAAAAGAAAGAGAGGAGGAGGAGAGTGACAGTGTGGCCAATTTTGAAAGAGTGGTGGTGGCAGCAGTGGGACACTTATCCTGAACCCCAGAGTCCAACTTCCTCCATCACTGATGAGTATGCTGATCTGCAGTGTGTGTGTCAGGGGACAGAGAGTGTTTGCACTGTCTCTGAGCTCCTGCCTGACACCCAGTATTACTTTGACGTCTTTGTGATGGACAGGCTGAACGGGACCAACATGGCGTACAAGGGGACATTTGCTCGGACACATGAGGAGGCTCGGCCGGCGATCATCACGCTAAGAGAAGGGGAGCTGAGGTGGGTGACCTTCCACGACAGAGGCTCTAACTCAGAGCAGTTCTTCACTTTCCGTCCTCGGGGCTGGCAGCAGAGTGGCCTCCTTACCTTGCAGAGCTGCGGTGGGGGTGAAAAGGTCAAGGTCACTGTGTCCAGCAAAGGTCAGGTGTTGACCTCGCAGGCTGTGGGGGGAGATTTAGTGCACATTTGGCTCCAGGGAAGTCCTTCCTATCTTATCCACTTAGAAAGAGAAGGAACTACCACAAGCCAGATCCCTGCTGCTACAGATCTAGCTCTGCCAGGAGGTCTGATGGCTTCAGTCAAAATGCAGACCTCCTCAGCTTACCACCGCAGAGGGGTCCCATCTCTGCCCTCCACCTTGCAGATAAAATCTTTCAACCGGTTGCGTGGTTGCAACAGTGTCACACTGGCCTGGATGGGAACAGAAGAAAGAAGTCTGTACTGTGTGTACCGCAGAAAGCTGGGAAACCGTGAACCAGAGGCCGGGGGAGTATCAGCTCTAACTGCACCCTGTCTGGGACCAGAGTCCCGCTCTGACACCGAAAGGGTTCTCTGCAAGTATTTCCAGGAGCTGAATCCTCGGCGGGCCGTCACTACGGCTGTGATTGGGGGCCTGGAGCCAGGGATGGCCTATGTGTTTGATGTCTATCTAATGAGACGCTGGGGGATCCCTATCAAGTACGCCAGCAAGATGGTGAAGACCAGAAAGGAATGCTGAGCTGCCGCCCCCTGCAGGAGGTTTTTAGACTGTCCCAGTTTAAGGGAAAATGCCATGGACATGCTGTAAAGACTGACCATGAGAACGAAGCCATTTGACTGTTGTGGAGAGACTGTTATCATAACAAAGAAATCTTCCCTGGAGGAGCAATGGTTATATTCAAACTCCACTTGCATTACACATGCAAGTGGATGGAAAGCATATGAGAAGGATCTGCACACCAGCAAAAGTTCATAACATTTACAATACAACTCTCGTGCTTTTGTCATTTTGTTTTTCATTGTTGATCATGATGATGATGTGCCAGTTGTCCAAGTGCTTATTTTGTGTCTGAGTACAAAGGACAGATGAGGTTTGTGATGACAGAAAGTCAATACAAAAACAACAACAGAGACTGTGCCAAATATGCAACAGAAACAGATGGGGCAATAATTGGATAACATCTGAGACAGGGGGGTTTTCAGTGTATATCTGCAGTGCTGCATATTGTACAGGCTTATAAACACAGATGGGTGCAATTTACAGATGCTTAGTTCAAAGTCAATGTGTATCGTTGTGTTCTGCTTTCGCATGAAGCAGTGAAAAATACTTAGTGACTTGCCTCATTGTCTTTGATGTATTCTTGTGCTGCTTCGAACGCACCAATAAATACTAGGGTATCTGTATGTTCTTGACTGAGTGATGCATGTATTTAAGCTGGACTGTCAAATTAGATTTTCTTGCTAAAAATTGTTTTCAGATAGCTACCACTTTTACTGTAATAGATGAGGCCTTGCACAGTTCAGTGCCATACTAATTTGTGACATTTCTGTCTAAATGGCGTTATTAGAATTAGAAAGACTCAGGTTAAAATATTACTGCTAAAATATTGTTCCAAACTGAATGATTGTGGCTTGGAGTGGCCCTGCCTCATCAGTTCATTATCTGTCCTTCAGCTGCCAAGTAATTACTTATTCATACTCACTAAGTAGTGAATAAAGCCCCATAAGACAGTGGTTAAAGTGCATCAGTATAAAGTCAAAGGAAATGCAGCTGATTATAATGACACTGTAAGGTGTTAAACTATATTCAGTTAAGTTCAGTTAAACATAGGTTTAGGATTAAGAGTGTGAGTTTAAAATGGAGTCAGGATCAGGTTTTTAAGAAGCATAATAATTATTATTATCAATTAATAATCAGAATTAGCATTACCAGAGTCTAGAGAAATGCTTATACCTATATATCTCAAAGAAGATTGGTAAATAAAAAATAGATGGAGAAGCGTTGCAAAACAATTTAGTAATTCGATTTTTCCAGAGACCAAATTCTATATCTGTTGTACAATAAAGTTTTGAAAGTTATTTTCCCCCCAAATCCTTTTTTTAATCAAGTAATAATAAAGAATAATTTTTTTTTTAAAAAAGTGATAAACATTGTGAGAGAAATTACAATCAAGTCTTATGGAAAGGAAAAGCAAAATAGAAATGACAAGAACAACAAAAACTAAATTAAAGAAGAATAAAATAAAATACAGTAAATTAATGACTACAATAAGCTATATTAAAGGCAGATTGATTTTTAAGTGTTTTCAAAGATGTATAAGTGATTGTGCAAATAGCTACTCTCTTTGTCTTACATTACAATCATCGCATTTACAATAAAATCGATCTTGGGATCTTTAAATTCAAAAAATAAGAAAATAACATCCGTCGTAGGAAGTCCTCATTACATAGTCCGACGTATTCAATACTGGGAACCAATAAGACGCCGTCTTTGTTTGTTACGTAAGCACGTCTCTCTACGTACGGATGTGCAGGAACAGACCAGCGCGCCAAACCAACACAGAGAAAGCAAAACACGAGAGTTCTGGATAATAAACCACTAAATTCGGTTGTTAAAACGTCTTCTAGACGCTTGAGAAAAAATACATCACCGGACAAAAACTCTAATCAACGTACTTCGGTCAAAATGGGTTTCCTCGAGAAGTGCCAAGAGCTCTTCAAGACCTCAAACCTGTACGAGGTGCTGGGCATCAAGAAAGAGGCGACCGAGGCAGAGATCCGGAGGAGTTACTACAAAGTGTCGCTGAAAGTCCATCCTGACCGGGCTCCCGAAGACCCGCTGGCCACAGAGAAATTTCAGGTAAGCTGTCAAGCAGCGCACACACTTAAAAGTACCATTACACTAGTGTAACATACTCCATTACAAGTAAAAGTGCTGCACTTGTGCTACTGAAGTAAATGTACAGAAGTCCTATTATCAGCAGAGTGCTCGTGGTATCAATGGTAAAAAAAAAACTCATTCTGCACAAAAATGGCCGCTGTCAGTGATATATTATTCTATGTGACATATTAGATAACTGAGGCATAAATTAAGCATGTAGCATTTTACTGTTTATGTTGAACTGGTTTTAACTACCTTATAGTCACCTGACTGTATATAAAGGAGGTATGGCTCCTACTAAATTACATTTTCTAAGATTATTATATGTAACAATAAGTAATAAATAACGAAGAACTATATATCAGTATAAAGTACAATACTTACCGTTGAAATGCAACAGACTCAAAGTATAAAGTAAGAAATACTCAGTTTAAGTGCAAGTTCCTCAAAATTGTACTTAAGTACTTAAGTAAATGTACTTAGTTACTTTCCACTACTGATTCTGCATTTGTGACATTTGTAGGAATGCAGAGATGTTTTTGAACATTGTTTTCCCACTAATAAATCAGCCAAAGCCCATGATTATGGGCATTTTGGATGAAAGCTGCAAGTATTTATTATTTTTCTGTTGATCAGCTTATCAGCTGATTGTTTCAGCTCTAAACCAAATAAAAATCAGAAAGGTCATATGGATAACATCTTTTGTAATTTTAATAGTAATTTCATATCACAATATTGACATATTATACTGTATATTGTGGTATGCTACATTTTCTTTAAAAACAACTGAGAAACTGTATAGATCAAATAACCAGATGGAAATATCTGTGACTTTTGGTGTGTCCAATGAATTAAATACCCGACAGATAGCACTGAGGCGGCAATCTCGTTTATCTGCTATTGCGAGGTAAAAATTGCTGATAGATGACAGCACTGCCCATAATGTGCTAACACAACCATAGATGTGGATCAACGTTTTTTTTCTTTAAAAAAATTTGTATAAAAAAAGACATGGCAAAATTTGGCCATTGACTAATTTCTAATGTACCACAGTATATATTGTCACCTAAACATAACATATATGCAGCTTTTAAAAGCTGATGATAACTAATGCCCTCAGTGCACCATTGGTGCAGTATCTCCACATCAGTGAGCGATGCAGATGTGTGAAAAATTGATTCTCACCTGACTCTTTCCCCCTCCAGGTGTTGGGGAAGCTGTATGCGGTGCTGAGCGATAAGGAGCAGAGGGCTGTTTATGATGAGCAGGGAGTGGTGGATGAAGAGTCTGACACCCTGAGCCAAGACCGCTGCTGGGAAGACTACTGGAGGCTGCTCTTCCCTAAGGTATCAGAGCACAACAGGAGTTTTCTTTTCTTTTTTTTTAACTAATGTGACTCAATAATGAGCCAAACGTATTTCTTTGTCTTCACTGTTTGTGTTTTTCTGGGGATTTTATGTTAGATGATATACAGTACTATAAATGGGGATCAAGGTTATTGAGTTATTGCATGATAAAACAAATGTGAAATGTACACAGGTTAACAGTGGATTGACACAAACATAATATTTTTCTGCTAGTTTTATCTGTTGTAGTGTCATAAAACTACACATGTACATCATTTTACAGCCTTGACAAGCAACTGTCACACACCTTTTATTTGTCTTGACAACCTGCTCTGCCTCTGCATCCATGTCCTAGATTACAGTGCAGGACATCCTTGAATTTGAGAAGAAATATAAGGGCTCTGATGAAGAGCAGCAGGATGTGATCCAGCTGTATGTGCAGCACCAGGGAGATATGGACGCCATCACAGCCTCGGCTCTGTGCTGCTCCCAGGAAGACGAGCCCAGGCTCTGCAGCATCATCCAGGCTGCCATCGAGAGCGGAGAGGTCACAGCGTTCCCAGCGTTTACTCAGGAGACTGAAAAGAAGAAGAGGTCTCGTAGGAAGAGGGTGTGAAGCGACAAAATTTATTTTTCACAATTTTCTCTCATGTGATTGTTAGTGGCACTAAAACCTTAACACCTTATATTGTTCAGTAACAAGATTACTCTATTGATTCAAATGTAAATATAGCATGAGGCAGTGAGGAGATGTATACCTGCACCAGTCAAGCGTACGCTCATACACAGTATCTACACACAAAGCACTTGGCTCTAATGTCTTTCAGCTTTGTCCAGTAATGTGATTGCATTTGACCTTCCAGGCTGACAGAGAGCGACAAGAAGCAGAAGAAATGCAGAAAGAGATGGGGCTTGGCGATGAGGATGACAGTCTTGTGATGATGCTCAAGGTAACAAATGCATATACACATGTCTGTAATTGACAGCGGGTTGTTTGTTTTTCTTCTCAATAACTGTCCCTTGTTTCTTATATTCCAGCAAAGACAGCAGTCCAGAGAGAACAACTTTAACAGTTTCCTGTCTGACCTGGAAGCCAAATACTCCAAAAAAAGTGGGAAATCTAAAAGAGGAAAAAAGTGAACAGCGTAGCGTACAGGCTCTGGTTGTAGCAGATAAAATGTATGTAAATTGCAGCAGATATCGTTCAAACAAACAAAAGAAAAACTTACACCTACGCCTGACTGCTCACTTTTGTGTGCCTCCTCATGAAACTGTCCTTTATTTGGCCTCAGTAGCTTTTTATGCCATGTCTATTAAAAAGTAAATGCATCTTTTATGTATTGTCATTTATGTCTTTTGTTGTCAATCTTCATAAACACAAATAAATTCATATTTATATACATAAGTTGTACACGGCTTTTTATTCTCTTGTATAAAATGGAATCAAAGAAAATGCATTGAAGAAAAACTGATTTTCAAGCTTTGTCACCTTTGTAGCATGGCTGTCGGATATATTATTTTAATAATAATGAATGAAGGGAAAACTACCCTTTGTGCAGTAACCCTGATGTTACGTGTCAAAGCATCCCCACTTGGCTTTACTCAGGTCATAAAGATACATTTACATCAAACAGTGTTCTGTACAGATGAGGAATGAATTCCCTCCGGTATTTACAAACTGTTTCATGTACCTGCCTCTTGTGTTCATACATTATCTTGAAGTGTAGTAGCAAAAACGTGGGCTGCAGAGATGTTCTGCCAGTGCTTCTATTCATCCACCACATTCCCTCTTCTGGTTTATGATTGGAGCTGAGCCTTCATGGAGAGAAAGGCAACCACAAACTTTCCAGGTGGCTCCTCTTGTTCTCTTCCCTGTGTGCAATGATATGCAATTTAAGAGGCTCTGGGTTAATCTGGGTTTTCTTTTTTTTTTTTTTTTTTTTAAACAGGGGGGTTGAAAATTGTGTCCTTATAAAAGATACAGTACCAAACTCTCTGATGTAGCATCAGAGAGGAAAAAAGTGCTTTTTTTATCCTCTCTATCCCTGTTTGGATTGATGTGTTATTCCCTGCATAGTCATTTACCAGTACAACACACCACAGAGGATAATATACAGTACATTCACATATAAATATATATACACAATCACATCGTACATTATCAGATCATACATTGTATAAATATCTACACATACAGCTCATGCTGTACATGTAGATGGATATACTGTTGACAGTTATTTGTGTTTGGCAGCCACATAAGCTGATTTCTGAAATACAAAAATAGGCCTCTAACAAAAACTTCACAAAGCAGCATAATATGACAAAAATATGCTACTTTAGTTAGACAAAAAATGTTTAGTGGGCACAGATGCTGCAGAGCGTTGCACTTTGTCGTGCTGTATAAAGATGAATGGCTGGAAGATGTGGAGGTTGGGGGCAAACTACAAGCCGGGTCTGCTGGCTCTGGACGCGATGCCTCCCCGAGTGTAAGACCGAGAAGGGACTGACACAGGCACCAGTGGAGCTGTAGGAAATAGGAAGGAATAAAAATTTTAAAAAAGTTGATGAACATCCTGACTTTAAAACATTTTACCAGTACGTAAATCATACTTGAAGTCAGCTGCTGCAACCTCTCACATTCATAGTTTATCTGAGGCCTAAGTGTGGAAGAATTTCATCAGCCGCTTTAATCTACTGACCTGAGACAGGGGCCTGTGGGTCTGGCTCCTCTTCGTCTTTGATAGGCGAGTGCCCCAAGGGGTGGTGGGAAAACGAGTCCAAGAAAGATGAGCTGCTGATGCCAAGACTGACGCCGGTCACACCGATTCCAAGAGAGTCTGGTGGAATGCACACATGAATAAATACATATGTGATCAAGTGATGCACTACAAAATCCCTCTTACACAGACACTGGGTATGTACAGTACAAGCACAGGCAAAAAATAAAGTAACACAACACAGACATAAAAAACAGGGGTCTCGGTACACAGTATCATTCATTTGATCAAATAGAAATTACAAGTTAATTAAAAAATACATCCAAATAGTGAGTCAGCTATAATACCTAAATATACATATTGTGACTAAACGTGAGTGAAAACTGTTGTACTGTCTGAAATAGATAAACAGGTACATGAATGAATAAATTGATTGAAATAGCTATTAGCAATGGAAAAGCAGTTGAATAGTTGGCTAAAAGTAAAGGATAAGTGGTTGAAACATGCAGCCTCTGCCACTCAATTTAACTAAACTTAACTACACCAACCTAAACACTGGCAGTTCAAACAAATTTATAACATCCACTATTAAATTGAGTTTGAAATCGGTTTAAATGAACACATTTTGAATGTGAGAGGCGGTGTTGATGATGCAATGCTTTAGTTAATCTGACAGGGCTTTGGGCTGTGGGCGTATGTCTGATGAAAAAAGGTTGGGAACCATTGCAGTATATCACATCCCTTTTCACAGCAACATTTTTTATTCGACTATTCAAGTTGAATTTCTGACCTGTGCCCACAGATGCTCTGCCTGGCCGCCCCTGACCAATGTTGTCCAATACTGTGAAAGAACGACGGTACGGAGTGTCCGACTAAAAAGAAAGCCAACGGTCAAACATCCTGTCATACTGATTGTACAATTCGTAACATCAACCACACCAGCTGATGACTTGGAATTATACAAGCCCTGTTGCTAAAGACTTTAACCTGATAATTGGAAAAATAAAATTAACATGACAGTATCTTACCCTGTATGTGTGAGTGGTGTTGGGGCGAGAGAAGACGTCCAGAAGGTGGTGACGATCCCTTGGTATTGAACTGCCAGCTTCGTCATTTATAGCACTGTGGGCGCGGTTGGATGGGCCTTTCTGACGCTGGACAGATCGACAATATGGACAAATACATAGGTTTTATGCAAATGGTCACAGGAGTTTTACTACATTTAAAAAATTGACAATACATTTAATAAATGCTACTGTAAATGTTTTTAGGCTGTACACATATACTTTCTACATTTTGGGATTACTGGTAGCTCTATTTAGAAAACTTTCATTTAACTGTAATGAGTCTTCATTGTCAATACAGTTGTGTTTCAGTGCTGTTATACCTGTGCAGGTTTGGACTGCTGCCCTGAGTGAGATGAATCTGGGTCCCCAGTGCTGATTGGGGGAAGGAGTGTGTTTCTGCTCAGAGGCAACAGCGGAGATGTCAGGCGGTCACTAGCCGTGGGTCTGTGGAAGAAGAAACAAGTAAAGAAAGTCAATAAATTCAAGTACAGATACTGTATGTCACTAACATATATTTATTTCTGAAGAGAAATAGACTGTGGGAGGTCTGTGAAAATACACAGCTTGGATGTAAGGATGAAAAGCAAAGTTAGAATCCTGTTTGATAAGATACTTTTAGACAATAAAGAACAGTTATATCTCGTTTGTTTGAACCGTACAAAAAGAAGTTTCTGCTGGTTGTCACAGTGGTGACAATCAAGTAAAAGTAAAAATAAAACCACAAATGTTTTTGTACTTCAGTCTTTGATTTTCTCATTTAACTATCTGCAAGAAAGTGAATAAGTGTATTTCCTAAAATTTCTAACTGTACCTTTAAAAAATCTTACTAGATATTAAGATACAGTAGCTGCTGAATTTTACAGAAAAATTGACTTAACACGATTACTCTTTTACTAACCTAACAGATGAACTTGTCGTGAACTGCGGTTCACGACAAGTTCATCTGTTAGGTTAGTATCACACATGAAACTTCTGTCACCTCCCACCCTCATTATTCCACCACACACAGCCATAAGGCACAAGTTGAAAGGGAGTATGTTTTCAAAGTAATCTCACTCTGTCTCTGCACAAGGAGCGAGGAGAGTGTAAAAAGTAAGATAGGAGTTGGGGTGGGGTAAGCTCCTGTGATGCTAAAACTCACAGACGTGTCCCGCGAATGACCTCATCCATGGATCCTGCTGTGCTGGACTGGCTCAGGCTGGGAACCAGTGGCAGGAGAGTCCGAGGAGGAGGGTTTCTGCGCCGAGCTGACTGCGCAGGGCGCAACAGCGAGGAAGAGCTCTGCTCCAGGGTTCGGCGAGGGCGAGGTTTGCTGGAGGGAACCACGCTGGAGCCTGGTCTGTGGGATGCCCGCTCCTCTGGCTCCCTGTGTAGGAGATAGTGAGAGGAACACAATTGATGAATGATGCATTTCCACCTGCTGCCAACTGGCTGTGTACTCTGCCAAATAAGGTGTTAAAATCAGGGACAAAAACATTGCATGAGTCCATTTCGTTTTGCAAAATGCAATGTGTTTACCTGTAAACGGGAAACTAGAACTACCAGACATCATTGTCTTTTTTCCTTCCATTTCAAAGATTTAAATCACATATTAGGAATATGCAAATGTGTGGTGGATGTGTCATCTTTTTTGCTTTCATTTTTTCATTTTGGCACCAGTGTTCATTGGTTACAAGAATAAAATGTGTCCATACTGGTTTCTATCCAGCACAACCAGGTTCCTCTGCTGCAGGGAGATGCTGTGGATCACGATGAGGTCGTTCAGGTTGTGCTGGGTCGCCACTGCTCCAACTGGGACCCTTCCAGCCTGGGGAATGGTGTGAGATGAGGGGGAGAAAGTAATGAGACAGAAGGAACGTGGGGGAGGGTAAAGGAGAGAGATGAAAGGTAACAGATACAAAAACACAGGAATGATTAAGGGGTCAAGGACAGAGAGAGGTAAGAGGAGACAAGAGACATAATATAGGAGTAAAGGCAGGTTACATAAAAAGAATTTATCTTATGAATTTGGTTAGTTATTTCCATATGTACAACACAGTATAATGTCCAAGAAATTGGTTATTTATCATGCAGTGATGTCAGGAGGGCCCCACATCTGCTATGCCACCAACCAAAACTAGTCACAACACTTAAAATGCAACAAAAGCAATAACTAGCAAAACAAAGCATTCCAACATTCTCATTGTGAAAGAAAAGGGAGATCTAAAGAAAATCAGAGTAGTTCATGTTGAAAACAAGTTGCAGTTAATTAAAAGGATAAAAGGTGGCGATGCTTTTGTGTTAATCAACAGGCACAAGCACATTTACTCTAGAGATGAAGAGAATGAGCCGCCGTGGACGGCATGCACACAACACGCCACCATTTTGGCTCTAAGTGAGTTACATACAGTGGAGGGTCTTTTCTGCTTTTTGGATTTCCGTCTGGACTTGTGCTTTGAGCCCCTTGACTTTGTATTCTTTAAGGGGAAAAAAGGCATGACCAAAGGAAGAGAGTGGATATAGAGGAAGGGAAGGAAAAATGTAAAGAACATAAAGGGAGATGAAGACAGAAATAAAAACAAAGAGAAAGAACAAAAACGAACGAACAAAAGGAAAGAAAGGAAAACAGACA